AATAGGTTTCTAAATTAACAATACACAATTGAAATGTAATTTGGGAATTCGGGAACTGAACATTTTTCGCTGGATTAGGTAGGTATCTTTTCAAGTGGATCACCCACTGTAAACCTTTATTACTTTTCTATTCATTTATTTTTTATATTCATAAAAGGATAGTTGTTGTTCTGCAACAAAGAACAGAAAACATTCACAACAAGCACAAATAGCCAAATATTAGCTGTATAAATAAGTTGCACTAAATAACTATTACATCAAATAATCAATATGTTATTTATCATACCTCAATGTGTCAAGGCACAATATATAATTCAAAATAAATATCTAATATTACACACAGAAATTAAAAAACAAAAGAAACAAACAAACAAAAACAACTAAAGTTGTTAAGAGGTGCAATAATTAAGGATGAGCTTGTTTAAACAGTTTGGGAGAGCTGAGAACATGTGAAGGAGTTTTGAATGCCCCACACCTCCAGTGACTGGATCTTAAACTGTCCCTTGCACAGTGGTGTGCTCTTGAATGTTTCACAAGCTTCAGAGTATCCTTCCTGCAGGTTCTGCTGTATACAGAGGGCATGTCCCCCATCACCTCCTGTAAACCCAAAACATCTTATTTAGTACTAAATATACATTATTATGCTTTACAGACAGTACAACAAAATGTCCATCTGCATACCAATCATCAGCTGGCTCTCACTTCCAGCGATGAACATGGAGGCCTCTTGTCCTTTGGCTCTCTTTGGCTCTTTGGCAAACAGAGGCTTGTCTGAGGGAGCAGTGAAGGGGACAGTGAGGTAGCTGGGGTCCTGAGGAGTTCCCACGGGACAGGTTAGTTTAGCACCGTTTATGGTGCTGGCACTGCTGCTGAGGGACAGCTGCAAAGAGTCACAGGGGCATGACCCATTCTGCTGCCCAGAAACAAATCTGGTCATTATATTAACCACTGCCTGCTGGTAGCGCTCCATGCTGGGACGCAGCTAAAAAGACAATTACATGATAAATATTAAGATGTTTTATGTTATTATAATAAAACAATCATGCTGAAGAAGCATCTAACCGTGAAGACAAAACATTCCCCTGTTCCGAAATATGTTAGGCTCTCTGAGTCATGTTTTCGCCTTTCTATTATATCTGAGGATAGAAAAGCACCAAACACCTGAAAAAAATGTTTTTAAACACACGGATTAGTTAGTGGCATAGAACATATTTGATAGAACATGGTATCAAATTGTCAACTTTAATATCAGCTCTGCTGTTACCTCTTCATCCACTGTTTTGATAAGGAGAACTGTTGGCTCATGACCTTCCACATGCGAATAGAATCTGTTGAAAAGCAGTTAAATTGCAAGTTTTAAAATAAATATATATTTTGCCAATGAAATTTACACATTTATGTGGACATTCTAACCCTTTGTGCTTACACAAAGTTTAATCCAAAACAAACTTGTTTATACTATAAACCTGCCCCTTTCACTTACGTAAGTGAACTTTTTCAACTCTTTGAGCCAAGCAAGGGCCTCTAAAATCAACTAGCACCCATTAACCGGGCTTATGTATGTGTCACTTACGATGCCAGACTCCTGTTGTGCTCTATGGTGCTAGAGTCTGATGGGGCTGAACAGAGCAAAGCGCTCAGGTATCCACGCCCAGACCACTCGCATCTCTGTCCCTGTCACAACACTCGACCTGAAGTTTGTGAAGTCCACACTCTCCACAGATTGCCTGAGGGGATTAAAAACATGTTAATGAACACTTTAACATTATAATGTACACTTTGTATGCTGTGTTGTTTTTATTGCGTTATAGCATGCCTTTTCTGATGGCAGCTGACCCCTTTCTGCATGAGTGAGTCCTTGTTAGCATTAAACAGAAGGTTGAGCTCTCGGCGTGTGGCCATTGGGATCTGGAAAGCTTTCTCCAGAAGAGTCTCAGCAGAGCAGTGGCGAGCTACATTCTGTACAAACCTCTTCATGTCAGTCCTGAAGTCCTCCACATCTGCCACTCGGGATGAGACAGAAACTTTGTAGAGACCGAGGAGAGCCAAAGCAACCCTATAGAAAAAAGCAAAAGCAAAAGCAATCAATATATGCATTTATTTTTTACTTTTGAGAAAAGCAAAGTAAAAAGTAACCGAGTATTCTACCACAGTAAAAGAAAAAAAAATTATAATAAAATAAAATAATAATAAATAAACAAATCCTTAAATCCTTGTTTTGAGGACAAAACACTCATGTTTTGAGTGTAACCTCTACTGATCAAGTATTTTAAGTGTACGCAAATAAGAAACAAAGACTTTAAGTAGGAGACACGTGTAACAAACCTGTACAGGACTTTGTATCCCTCCAACAGGTAAACATCTAAAACTCTGATGGCGTAGATGAACGGGAGGTCGGCGAAGATCCACATGATCCAGTCAGAGTAAAACTCAAAGAGGTTTTGATGTGAACTAGCAATTAATTTACGGATGCCCCGGCAGCATTTGTTAGCAAGATCTCCAAAGGTCATACAGGAGGCTCTGTATGTTAGGAACGTCTGGTCTATGTAGCGCTTGTTGGGGTCAGTGTAACAGATGAGGCGGGCCACGCTGTAGAAACACTCAGCTTCATCCATGCTAAAGTGAAGAATGAGGGAGACTAAAGCTGGAAGGATGGGGCAGTAGTTCATGTCCGGGAAATACTTGCCAAGACAAATGAGAATCTTCTTGACAGAATTCAGGCCAGCTTTGTTAAGGCAGTATCTATAGAGAAGAGAATATAGGTTTGCAGGTTATCTACTTCATATAATCCTGCACTAAATCCAAGTAGAACAACCAAAATGCTGCACTATTTATTTATCAAAATGTGCATGCAAATGATGCTAAATGATTAATGATGAACAATTTCACTGGTTATAAATAAAACATATAGAAATTATAATACTTATGAATAGGATACCTGGGTATTTCTGCAGCCTCCATATACTCAGGAGCAGGGTGGGAGCTCAGTTTCTGTTCTCCAAACAGTTTCTTGCTCAGTTCATAGTAGACGTCTCTCTCTGGGTGTGCCGTTTTTATACTACAACACAATGAAAACAAATCATAGTCTTAAATTTAAGATTTAATTCCTGAAGATTACATGACCAACTGTTTTCTCAAGCACTCTTAATTTTATTTTAAATATGTGATGTGTATGTAGCATAATAACACATAAAATAAGCATGTCTTAATGCAAAATGTCAATTATAATTAAGTTAAGGCTGTCTTTAGTATTTGACTCATACTTCAATGCCACTGGTGCACCTCAACAGGAGCAGTGCTGTGCTGTGCCCAGAGACCCATCTCCAGATCTTAGTCTATTGTGCATGTTTTGGGTTGATCAGGAAAACTACACTGCCTGGAGAAACAAGCAAACTCCTCCCAGAAAGTCAAGCATGCATGAAAAGCTGGGATATTTCAAGCATGTACATATAAAATAATTCTAAAATATTGTAACTGGACAAACAGGGCACTGAGACTGCAGTGCGCACAGACTTTTCAAAATCCTGAGATTCAGATTTTTGTACCTGTTTTTTTTATACCTGTTTTGCGTGTGTTAAAGAAAGGGTTAGGCTTTGGATTGATTTGGTATTCCTGATTTAGTCTGGGTTTAGTCCTTACATTTAGTGCTTTGAAAAAGATGGAAAAAGATTATACTGTACATTCAGCCATTGGCTATTACATATACTAACCTGGAGTTGATGCTGTGTATGATGTGGTAGTACGCTTTGGCCCGTAGTGTGTGTGGCATTGCCCAGTAGCCCTCTCGGCCCATGGCCTTCAGCTGTGAGTGGTCACTCTGTAAGATTATCTGGTATCTCTTTGCTGCTTCAGGGTCAATTTTTTCCCAGTCCACAAACTGTCCATACTTCATCCCTGAGCTGGAGCAGATCTCCCAGTTGTCAGCCTCAGATATTGTCATCATACTCTCTGCCTTGAAGCTACTAGTTTTACCGCCTACACAAAAAGACAACAGTAGCTGTTAATGCCTTGCTTAAGTAACACTTTGAGATTCATAAATACTTACTTGAGCTATCTTTTGCTGACTTGCTCTGTTTAGGCCTGAGCTTCTTGGGTTGGATTTGTGCACAACTCTCATTGCCTTCCTTTTTGTCTTTTTTATTATTTATTACAAACTGCAATGAACTTGCTCTCTGTCTCAGAGGACTGGATCGATCAAAATTCCCAACATCAATATTGGAAAACACCTCTGAGGTCTCATAGCTGTAAAATGATCTGTAAATCAGGGAAATATTTTATTAAGTATTGATTACATTAAGCACTTAATGTAACCTGTTGTCAATAAACTCTATTTACTTTTGACTTACTTGATTTATTAGGCATATAAGGTATTTATTAAATTTTCAAATTCAAAAATTCATTATGGCAATACTTATACTATAGTCAGACAATATTACACTCTTTGCATATATTCCTTATTCCCACATAAATCAAAATAATTTGAAACTATAAGGCTGTTGCAACATAATACATTTGTGGTTACAAAATAAAGCAAAAAGTAAACAATTCACATTACCTTGATCTTGGTCTGGCGTTAGTTTCTTCTCTCTGTGACTGTAGACCACAGTTCTTACTGTCCTCTGTGTTGTAGTACGAGCGAGACCTCTGTCTTCCTCTATTGTGCAGATCTTCATCAGCAGAAGCTCTCATAGTGACTGAACTCATATTTCCATAGTTTGAGATGACGGGAGCTCTTGGGACATGAATCATAGTCCTGCTCCACACACAAGTAGTCAAGTCTCTAAGGCTGTCCGTTACTTACAGCACGTCCTCGTGCCTTCACTTTATAGACACACGCCTATGGGGATGGTCATGTGAGAGTTTGTTGATGTGGTGTGGTGTTGTTAGACAATCAAAAGTTCCACCGTTCTTACAGCTCTGGAACGACATTCTCAGAAGTGATTAATCATTGTCTAGTGACATACCATCTTTGTTAACATTGTGAGCACAGTATCAAAAGTGTCTAAATATTATCGAGGAATTCCATGGAAATGTAACTGTAAGGTCATATCTCTAAAACGCTGTTTTTTATGTTGCAAAGGCATAAATAGAGGCTACAGAACTGGAAAAAGGACTTGCCCTTCAAATAACCCTGTTCTGTGTTTTGACTTTTTAGGGTATATAGTGAATTATCTGCAAAAATGTAGAATCAAAGCCAATGTTTAGAACAAAAAATCTTGATCCAAAATAGTGTCCACTTCTTTGAAATGTCCCTGTCTGAGGTATCAAAATGCCAACCGGAGTCTATTCCGAGAAAACCTTATTATTTTACAAAACAGGCGTATGTTTTTAGCAATCACAGACATTGTTTTGCTATAAAACATAAAACCTTACATGTACCTACCTCATATGAGGGCTCCACATGCAACAGTGCAGCACAACAGTGCCTGACAGTCTTTAGGAAAGACATTTACTATTATGGGCATGCACTAGATCACCCATGGCAATTTCCATGAAGGTTACACACATGCAGACTACTAGAGATAAATCAGTGACCAGCAGGTTACTTAGTCAACAATTAACCTTTAAAAGCACAGGCAGGATCTTCTTCGACCTACCGGTAGCGCTATAAGCTAATAGCCATTATGCTAATATTTCTTTAACTTATGTAATTCAAACTAATTGATGTTTGGGTCATTTGAATGGTGATTTGATGAATATTGTGATTTTGGATGCTGATCGAAATGCGATTTCCGTACTTATCCCTTGTGGGCCTCCGTAGTGACGTACCACCCAAACAAGAAGCTGACTGCTGTTGATTAGCGAGATCTGTGCGACAGAAAGAAGGATTTTATCTTTATATGATCAGATTTTAAAATGTCCCAGGATCCCTGGTAAGCATCGCGTTGAGGAATTTTAGCAAGAAACCCTGAAATAAACCTTTTAGCTATAGCTACATTTTAAGAAATGTTTGGAATTGCTAGCAAACACGGGCTAACCAACCCAATGTAATGGTTTAATATCAGAGTCTGACAAGTTTAATGTTAATCAAAAGGAATAGAAGTGTTTTGCACCGGTCATTTGTGATAACTTCATGTAGTGAAGAGTGACAGCAGTTAAGATCTGGCAGTGTTGAAATTAAATGATCTTTAGTAAGCTGCTGTAAGCCTTTGCGTTTATTTGTTCATTCAGGTTACAGAATCATGACGCTACTTGCCGCCTGGCCCAAGAAATAGCAGAAAACATCCATGAACGAAATAGACAGCAGAGAACTGGGGGTAACCCTGCAAAAGTAAGCCATTAGTTCAACATCCCATAAAGCGTGTGTTTTTTGACTGTCCATAACTTCCGTTTGTGTTATTTATTTGTATTTGTAGATCAACATGACTCTTCGAGCATCGCTACAGAAGCTAAAGCAGAATATTTCTCAGCTGAGAGAAGGATTGTTGCGGACTTCCTCGTCGCGTCGGATGTATCCTTTTGTGGCAAATGGTCATGAGACATATTTTACTTTGGCTTTTACTTTATCTGCTGCACTAACAGTATCATATCAAAAGAGGGCGCCAGAAGTTTTTGCTTGTTAATTTCACTGTGAAAGATGATAGGCTTTAACACTAGTCCATCAGAACTCAGGCAGAGGCAGACAGAAGACAAAATCTTATTGATGACCTTCTAAGCAGAGAGAAACAACTCAATTCAACATTTAAAGGAGAAGTCTCAGGAGCAGAAACCAGCAGGTAAGTGAAGCTCACGGAGTTGTCCAAAAGTGTTTTAAATTATATTGAAACTTTGCAGTGACATCATGCTGGGGGGTGTTTTTCGTGTATGTGTATGGCACAAGGTTTACAAGTTACCATGGTGCCACAGTGCGCACATTAGCAAACACAACCACAAAGTTAAGATTATGTGAAAACTTAAGAAAAAATACAAAATTAATATAAACAACATATTTTCAGGAGCCTGTGATCAATTGAGCGTTCATGGTGTTCATTTAGGTGGTGAGAATGACTAAATGAAGAACTTGTATAACGCTAGCTAGGTTGTGACTGCAATTTTTTGACTTTTTATTAGTACAAATCAGCTCACCTATTGTAGCTCCAGCGAAATTGGCTTTTTCTAGTCTCCTTTGTGTAACAGAGATTCAGTTAGCATCACACCCCCAGAGAGTGATGATGACATCTGCTGCAAAGTATCAATACTACTACTACTACTACTTATGTACCACATATACATAAACAGTAATATCACAGATAAGGAATAAATTGGTTCAGTTTCAGTAAAGAATGTATTTAATTGTAGTTAGTGTCAGAAGAAGTAACACAATCTCATCACTGAATGCCACAGGTAATTATCAGCAAGTTAAAATTCCTGGTTGTTATTGTCCAATTAAAATAATGATTTCGTACTCACTTGACCCATGAGGTAGAAAAGTTTTCATCTTCACTTTGATGGTGCGTCACCGGTCACTAACTGTGTGTACCTCTACTGTGACCTGTGCTGTTTGACCCGCCCTGCTCTGTGATACGTGAACAAGTGTCTCAGTCGGACATTTGGACAGGATGTTGGTCTTTGTGGCTAATTCCTTTTCATTAGAGCTATCTTCGCTTCGCACTGTTGATCAAACATGGGGCCGCTTTTGTGCACATGTATACATTGGTGCAATTATACATTGAAAGAATGAACTGTAGTTGTGTCACAACTTATATCCTCTTCTTTATTTGATGTTATGACAATGTAACATATACACAAAACTGCAGTCCACATACACTAATCATGTGTTCAACAGCTAATGTATTCAGACAGACATAGGAAACAGTGAAAAGTTTCTTAGTAGTTGGAGGCATAATTAAATCTGCCAGAGGTTTTGGTTTACATCCCAGTTAATTTAAAAGGAAATTATGGTAAATGCAGCTAGAGTATTGGTGTGGCTATAAAGTCATTGGTTAGAAAGAATCTACCAACATATGGCAAATCATTTGGATCTCTGGGAAAGACCCGTTCTCTCTGTGGTATAGTGGGTTGGCTTTGCTTATGCGTCATTAAACTTGCATGCTTATTTACCAATACCTTTGGTCAAATACAGAAAATTGGACCACGTGACATGTGATCAGGAACATCTTGAGACTGTGTTTTTGCTGTAGTTCATATGTTATTACTTTGTTCATTCTGTTTTTACTATTTATAACATTTTCTTGGTTGGTGTGGATAATAGTCATAATTAGTTAAATACTGCCTGTCCACTCAGCGTAGACAGGGATGCTCAGGCCCCAGAGGTGGTGGCCTAGTGCTTTGTGGCTGCCAAAAGATGTGCCTGAGTGGTTTTGGCGGTCTCCTCTGACTGGTTAATTGGATCTTCACACACTGAACTCCAGGGTGGAGGAAGTGGAGAGCTGGCATGCACTCTCATGGTAATCAAACATGTCAGAGGGATTAGAGCTTGTCTCACCTATTCCTCTGATGGTATCAAGTCGAGGATAGCAGCATTGTCAGAGCTCCCACACAGCCTCAGTGACCAGAGGAAAAGCTTGTGACCCTAACAACATAGTCATCATTTAATCAGTCACTAAGCATAGACTTTTATTACACATACAGCACAACACGGTAGGCTTAGTACTTCAACCTCCAAAGTCAACTCAGTACCTCTGAAGAAATCTCACACTGATGTTTTGAACAGCGGGTTTTTTTGTTTATAAGATGTTTTCAGTCTTAGTAAGTTGTATGAGAGTCACAGAAACACCTCAAGTAACAACTGTACAATCCCCACACCGCAGAACCACATTTGGACAGTCAGCTTTTTCATATCAATATTCTTAACAATAGAATTCACTACCCCCTGAACTAAAGTGCATAACAGAGCCTGTTCACCTTAAGGCTCATGTCCTGATTAAAAACAAACCAAAGTTGTACCCACCTGTGAATGTGTATTTGAATATGGAAATGTCTGAAATGTGAAATGCATTGTTGCACTGTTGTAAGAATGTGTTTAAAGATTGTGCTTTTAAATTGTTTTGAACTGTTTGCTGTAGGAAAAAGTCCAACCAGGTACAGGAGTTGAAAATTTGCACTAGCTACACACTCTATATGTGTCGCTTATGTGACTATGTATGCCTGTATTGTCCCTGTCAAATAAATAAAGAAAGAAAGAAATATGTTGTTGTATAACTGTATATGACTTTTTAGATCCTCTCTCATGACGGGGGGAATGAGTGGAGCTGCAGCCAATCCCTGGTTGATCAATGAAACAGAAGAGACGAGAGGTCTGTCTTTTGGGGAGATCAAACAGCAGCAGCAGCGGATCATAGACGGTACTGTATTTATTTGAAATATGTCTTATTTTTTGTTTTGATATATGTCCTCCTTACATAACATTTCTTTGAAATAATCTGTTCAAACCACTGTAGACAAACCCTCTGACAGGGCTGAGGAAGTCACATGGCAGTTCACCTGTATCCTTGTGGCACTTCATTGCTGTGTCCACAACATGTATCTGGTTATTTTCAGTTCAGGATCAGAGAATACTTTTAAGAAGGCAAACCACATGGAGGTTTTTAGTGTCCTCTGGGATTTCTAGTGGAGTTGGGTAATGGCGAGTGCCTAAAGCTGCGGTCTGAAGGAGGAATTCCTGTGGTAGTGAGTGTGTCAAATTTGGAGACCTTGATTTTCCTTCAGAGAGCCTATGTCCTAATACCAAAAAGAACTACTACACTGTGGGCAGAATAGGACTACATTATTCCATCAGACTGTGGATGCCTCATTTCACTGTACCAGTACAATGTAATGGCTCTACAGTTGGAATGCTTGTATTGTTTTTCTTATAACTTGCCAAGCTTGAGAAACCCACTGCCCAAATATGTGCATAATTTGTGGATCTTATGCTGTACTTAAACTGTGATTTTACTCAAAGCTTGCAACATCTTCTCAAAGTTTGCATTTTATCTTGATTGTTTTCATTTCTCTTTCCAGCCCAAGATGCTGGCTTGGATGCCCTGGCAGCGGTCATTAGCCGACAGAAGACAATGGGTCAGGAGATTGGCAACGAGCTGGATGAGCAGAACGGTAATGTCCAGTGCACAGATGTGTGTCCAAAGAATACCAGACACATGACATACCACAGTGTCAAAGTAATCAGGCGTACAGAGCGCAGCAATGGAAGGACTTGCCTCATGTAATTTGTTGGACTGTGATACTCCCTCAGACCACAGACACTGCTACGCTCTATAACTAACACAAATGCACATGTAACCACCAGAGCGTGTGCAGTTTTTGCCGTATGAAGAAATAGAAAAATACAATGCCAGTGCAGGATTCATTTTTAACTATGATTGACCCATTTTGGTTATTTTCAATCTGTACCATTACATTTGCTTAGGTTGGGGTATTCTATAAATAGTTAAATGATGGTGTTTAGTCACTTCAGTGCTTTATTTTAAGAATTCAAATGTATAGAGTGTAGAAATAGCACTACATTTTAGCTGTGAGGCAAAAAGGACCTAAGAGTTACTTATGTACCTGAGCAAGAGCAATCTGTAAGGCAAAGCATTTTATATTATTTGGTGGGTGTATGTAGGTGATCTAGGACAGACCAGGCCCCAGACAAAGACAAATATGTTTTAAAACTAAGGAACATAACACTCTACAGATGCTAATTTCCAAAAGTAACAGCATTATTAAAGATTTATGTCTGTTTTGCTCCTACATACTACATTTAATACTAGTAGTTGGGTCTCTTCGGATACATTTGCTTCCATTTTGGATTCATATCCTATGTTGTTTCACCCTGTATCACATTACCTGCAGTTATTAGCAATGCCCCTTGAATGTGTTGAAACATACAAATATTGATTGTGGCAAGTGAGCTCCCATCCGTCAGCAGAGGAGTTTAAATCAAAGTGAGTAGTAGTGAGCGTACGGAGTCATGTTTTAAGCCTGTTGCTATGACGGTTTTATTTGTGTGAATTCATTTGAGCAGGTTAGAATGACTGTTTCCATGCCTTCAGTACATATTTTTAGGTTTGCGACACCTAAAAGCACCAGAAGTTTCATTTAGCTTCAGTTTCTATCTCCTTGTTGCTACAGCATTGGGTCTATGCTATAAAGCTCTCTCTTTAACGAGCATAAATTAAGTTGGTCACATAGTTTTATTTTCCAACTTGTTAGAGAGAGATTTGTAGGTGTTTGGATTATATTATATGAAGAGTAGACATAGAATTAGCAGTATTTATTTCAGTAATAAGTACTAATTTGAATATGTCTGCTGTAAGATTACTGCTGCAACTCTTGTTATCATGAATACCACTATTACTCATATTTGTACTAGTGTTATTTCTAGCATTACTGTTAACATCTTGATGATATTAGTATAACTGTTACTCATTGCAACTGCTGCCTCTACCATTCTGCTAGTATGGCTACTGACTAAATGATTTGGCTTAGCGTAACTTTTGTTTGCCTTAAAGTTATAATGGAAGTGAAACGTTTTCTGAATGGACTGCATTTCATTCATAACAGAAGAAGAGATGTGGAAGCCTGTCAGTTAAAACTGATGCTGGGAGCGTAACCCCTGCATCCGACTGTCTTTTGCCCCTGATCACTGTACTGTAGCCGTGTTTTCCTATAAATAGATTAAGCTCTTTGTAGTGGGACTCATGACCCAAGTGCAGTGAAGGTTGCAGTCTTTTCCTTTTTTGGCAAAACAATTCCGGTTGAGGTCACTGGAGGAAGATGACCCTTTTCTAAGATTTAGACATGAACCCAAAGCCCTAGTGCAGCCCCCTCCTGAGGACTAAGTGGATCAAAACAACAGTTAAGGACTATAGGCATTCAAGTATCTACTGTTTTCTCTACAGTTAATAATTTTTGATTTGCATTCAAAAGACAAAATTATCAAATCAAATTATAATTGTCATGTTTGCTACTATAATATTAGATTAAAGGTCCAGTATTACGCAAAATTGACTCTTGGGAGCTTTAAGTCATGTTAGGACATTGTTACCTCATCAAAAACATATCTGGAGGTGTGTTTTGTTTCATTCACACGTTTGAATAATTCTTTATTATTAATCTGTACATCTCCAAAGATCACCTTCTGATGTCAGGTATTGGTAGTTTTGAAGTTAACAGCAACCCTTTACCTTTAGTGCAGTAGAGATTTGCAATGCCAGGGCTGAAGTGATCCAAATTATTCTAGTATATGGATCTTAAAAAAACTGTGTATTACCACTTGACATCACAAGTTAGAACAGTGTTTTCTGTGTGAGAAAAGAACTCCGCTTAAATATGCACTGTTTGTGTGTTAAAAGTGTGTGAATGAAACAAAAAACATCTCCAGGACCAGAAATGTTTTTGATGAGGAAACAACATTATAACATAGATCAGAAAATAGCATAATATTGCGCCTTTAAGCAATAACGTTGCTCTACAAATGGTATATTTTCCTTCCTCAAATTAGGCCTACCTAATGACCTTAGTTGCACACATACCAAATGAAATGGCCTGCATCAGCATAACCACCTTCCCACAGTGAAAAATTAACATTGATTAAACTTTATTAGTTTAGCTACTCCTCCCTTTATAGCCCCAAAAGTGTATATATATATATATATATATATATATATATATATATATATATATATATATATATATATATACATACACACACACACACACACACACACACACACACACACACACACACACACACACACACACACACACACATATACTTATCTACTTAACTTTTTTTTTTTTTTTTTTTTTTTTGAAAATTATGAGTGACAGGGTTTACAGGTTTCATTAATGTTCATATTAAGTTTCTTTGATCTGTGGACCTCAGATGTCCATGTCATAGTGTATGACAGGGGTTCTCAAACTTTGACAGGCCAAGAACCCCACATAATTAGTCAATGACATTACAGTAAAAATCAGTTCAAAAAGTTCAGTTGGATGAAGATTAATTTCTCATAGTCTTTAACTTATTAGTGTTATTAGTTAGCAAACTTTGTATGTTTGGATTGTATCATAAGGAATTGTATTAAGTAATTTTTAATATCTTCACACTTTTTAGGGACCCCCAACACATGGCCCAGAGACCAACAGGGGACCTCGCGATGAGAACCACTGGTGTATGTGATATGATTTTTTGGCATATCACCCACCCATAGTCGTTTATGCATTATATGTCCATTTTTTTCTGGTCCAGTAGGGTTAAAAGTGGTAGAAAGGGCTGATGACATTTTTTAACAAGCCAGTAGTAGCTGCATGAAGGACAAAAGATGTGAAGAGAAGGCACCACTATCAATCACTATCCCTGTGTTGTTTTTTCTTTATCCATTCTTTCCTGCATCCATCTCTGTCGTGGGCTTGTGAAGGGCAGAGCAGAGCAGAGGACAGACCCAACAAAGAGAATGAGAGAGCCAAGTGACAGGGAGGACCACCAAATGAGGAACAATCCCATTCAGGCATGGCTGAAGACATATGCCTAATTCATTTACAACAGTGTCTGAATTCTTGGTCATACATGTTTTAGTTCTATACAATGTCCTGCATGAGTGTGCATATTTGCTTTGATATTTTCCTTTTGTCTAATACTGACCTCATAATTTAACAATTCAATATACAAAACTCCACAAGATGTCTGAAGAACAACAAACCCAGCTACAAGTGGATGCTAACATTAGTTTCAATTATAGAACTGTATATTTATGGAAATTGGGCCATTGTCTAAAAGAATGTGAGAAATTGAACATGCTGTAGTGTATTATATAGCCCTGAGGTGCGGTCAGTTGTCTTCAGAACCGGATCACATCCAGATGTCCAGTAACATGCATTTGCAAGAGGTCCTTTCTATTTCAATATAAACAGTAGATTATCAAACAGTTGGGCATTACACTTTCACACAAACTGTTGAATGTGTGTTTGGCTCGAACTTCATCGTGGAACCAAAGGGTGGAACAAGAGTTGGAAATATAGAGGGCCTAATCCTATTATTTTCAACTTTTGAGTAATTAATTTTTTGTCTTGTGACAAGCTACAGACCCATGGTACTATTAAATTCTATTTCTAGTAGAATTATGTTGTATTGGTTGTTTTAAAATTGTCTTTGAGGTTATTGCAGGAAAAAAAACTTGTTCAATTTGAGTCTTAAAAGTAATAAAAGTCATTAATGTCAGTATTGGTTTTACAGCGATAATTTATGACTTCAGAATAGTGGCATATCAATTATTGCTTAGTCCTCTTATTCAGCATTACCTCACTGGATAACCTGTTGTTTTCATAGCCAAGTCATTGCTCTGCTTTTCTTGGGCGACATGCCCGCTGTGGTATGTGCACAATTTAACTGCAAACCGGTGTTGATACTGAGCTGTGATTTTTCCCTGAAGAGCTCTTTGGAGCGGTCTGTCCAAGCACATGAGCTGTAGATGTTGGTGGTATTAGTGGCTGGGGCTCTTTACTTTCAGCTGCCAGCTCCCTCTGGCTCTGGGCTCAAGATTCCCTGCCATTTAACAGCACCTCAGCCTGACTTGGGCCAGCAGGTTCCTTTTTAGATGAAACCAGTGAGAACAAATCTCCCCCTGTGTTTACTTAATTGCTAACCACACCGGTGTGGTGGTTGTGTTCAAAAGGCCGACATCTCAGCACTGCCTCGTGGACTTGCTGGCCCCAAGGCCAGTGTGGGTCATCCCACATAATGAGTGGAAGGACTTGCTTTACTAAGTCTGAGCGGAGCAGCACATGGTTCCTATTTAAGCACAGGGAAGATTGTACCTTGATGTGTCGGGGTTTTGGGACGTGTTTATGTCCACATACTGTATATACATTAGCTCTGGAGGAGGCCACACTTGGCGTGTGTCTCTGTGGCGTAAGTGCTTTGTCTGAGATCATTGTGTTTGTGGAGTGCACACCACATGTCCCCCACATGTGGGCAGGCTGTGACTGGCACACAGGCTTCAACTGTAGGAAAAGCTTTACATGGCACTGTTGACACTTACACAGCAGTGTGTTTGGTGGTTTGTGATACTTTATATTTAACATTTATTCTTACAATAATTAGCAGTAAT